TCGCCGCAGAGGACGGGGGCGGCGGGCCCGCCCAGACGCGCCGCGGTCCCTCCGCCCGCGTCCTCCGTGGCGAGAAAAGCCTGGTCTGCTGGGGGGCGGGGAGGGGCGCAGCAGCAGACCAGGGAGACGCGGAGCAACTTTTCTCGCCACGGAGGACGCAGGTGGCGGGACCGCGGCGCGTCTGGGTGGTCCCGCCGCCCCCGTCCTCTGCAGCGAGAAAAGCCCCGTTCGTATGTAGGGATCCGACGTAAGTTTTAAAATTTTAAAATTATTTAAAATGTTTTCCCTCATCTTTATTACTCATTGGGAGAAAAACACACTACAGGCAGTCCCCAACTTACGTGGATCCGACTTACGTCAGATCCCTAGATACGAACGGGGTGAGGCAACTCCCGCACATGAACAGCAGACAAAAGCAGCCTCTCCGCCCCTCCTCCCCCTATACATGCTGGGCTCCCTGGGCAAACAAAGACTCCACCAAAACAAACAAAGTGCTGGCCTCATTGTGTTAGCAAAAAAAGGACCCTCCTCCTAGAACCCTGGGTGGTGTGTGGAAATAAAGCTATTAGCTCAAAGCATGGTGCAGAGCTGTTTGGTATTTGATGAGTTACTCCTTTAGTCCTTCTGTTCTGCAATGTGATTTGTCCTTTTCATATTTGTTCATTTTTTTTAATTGTATCCTTTGGTATATATGGTTGTGACTACTTTCTTCCACTATTTGATCTGAGGAAGTGGGTCTGGCCCACGAAAGCTCATCATCTAATAAACCATCTTGTTAGTCTTTAAAGTGCTACATTGTCCTGAATTTTGCTTCAGCAGTCAGGATGCTCTTTTTCGAAAAAGCGGATCGATTTTCCGATCCGTGTATTGTAGTCTAGACGCGCTTTTTCGAAAGAGGCTTTTTCGAAAGATACTAGATATACTAGATACTAGACATAGCCATGGTGAGGACTGGCCTACCTCCCAAGGCCTGTGAAAGCGAGGGATCATTGTCAGGAACCAATCCTTGCAACAAACCTCGGTGCCAACTCTGCCCACATATATACACTAGCAACACCATCACAGGACCTAACCAGATCAGCCATACTGTCACTGGTACATTCTCCTGCACATCTACTAACATAATATATGCCATCATGTGCCAACAATGCCCCACTGCTATACACAATAGGTACCTATCGCCTATGTGTCTTCTCTCCTATCTGGAAGAGATCCTGTTTATTAGGAATGGCAACATACAAAAACCTGTAGGGGAACACTTCAATCTTCCTGGACACACAATTGCAGATCTAAAGGTAGCCATCCTGCAGCAAAAAAACTTCAGGACCAGACTTCAAAGAGAAACTGCTGAGCTACAGTTCATCTTCAAGTTTGACACAATCAACTCTGGATTAAACAAAGACTGTGAATGGCTTGCTAACTACAAAAGCAGCTTCTGCTCTCTTGGAATTCACACCTCCAGATCAGCTACTAGAAGTGGGCCTCATGCTCCTTGATTGGATCCACCTCATCATCTCCACCCTGATCCTGGCCTGCATATTTATACCTGCCTCTGGAAATTTCCACTACATGCATCTGACGAAGTGGGTCTTTGCCCACGAAAGCTTATACTCCTACACTTCAGTTAGTCTATAAGGTGCCAGAGGACTCTTCAGCGCTTTTGAACATTCAGACTAACACGACTACCCCTCTGCTACTTGGTCCTATACACTGACATTACAGCTAGAAGTCTAGCCATTTTAGAGTTTCTGGTTTCTTTATGAATGAAAAGTGAGCAGTTAAAATCTATACACCAACTGATCTTAGACTTAAATGAACCTATCCACAGTAGAGAGATCTTCCATTTCATAATTTTTCTCTGGAAAAAAAAATTGGGGATGATAAAAAGGAAAAAAAACCAATAAAGAGAATCTGAGTCCCAACAGTTAAATATCCTTCAAAGAGCAGGTAAAATTAACTAACCCTTTAGTTAACCAGGGCCAGATTCTCAAATGTGGCCTCCAATCATTACTATAAAATTATTTGCACACAACAGGGCTAATCACTCTACCGGTGTGAATTCAGACTCACTCCACTGACAGTGACTCTACAATCATGCATGCAAAATGGGTAATTCCATGCATTTGTGTCCATCATGAGAAATATATACAGGTTTTAAGTCCTCAAAGAAATGTGCATGCAAATTTTATGAATGTACCCTAGGAAGTTTCATATCAGCAAGTTGAATCAGAAAAGCAGAGCTAGGTGATTCTTCTCTCCCCCCCGGGAGCTATATTATCCAATGAAAGGCTTACAATAAGTTTGCACCTTTGACATAAGATGATGATGTATGTCTGGATTTTCTGGTATGCATCCCATTGCTGTTGGCTGATTCTGAAGGGAAGAGAGTAGAGAGACAGGTCCATATAAGGGCTTTGTGGGAAAAGAGGGAATGTTTAAAAGATTTATGAAGAACACTTACAGTAGCATGAGAATTACAAAGCAGATGAGTACTGTATGAAATACTTACTCCCCAAAGAAAAATATGTCTAAGGTCTGTCTCCAGGAGGTTCTTACTGTCTACAATTCTAGTCAAAATGATGGCACACCAACACTCCATTAAGAGAAGTCAGCACTTTATACCACCTCTCCAGTTAATATAGTTAGCTTTCTATATCTTGTATTACAAAGAAGAGCCTGGGCCACTAGGAAAAGAACTTAATTTTTCCAACATCTCGTGGTCGTATGAAATTAAGCAGCTTAGTGAAAAAGAGTTTTTAAAGGGTGCAAATCCCAGCTCTGTGAAGCAAAGATTGGAGAGCTCATTGAAAGATACTCACATTTTGCTAAAACTTTCTGGCAACTTGAGCCCCAATTTTAAGTTCAAATTTCATGATACTGATGCTGAATTGTTATTGACGTTTTGTCACTGAAAAGATTAAGCTAAAAATATTAAGCCAAGAACATTAGAATGGTAGAAAAACAGATAAGGCAGAATAAAATTATTTTATGGCCCTAATTTTGAGCTAAAAGTATTACCTCAGACAGATTAGCATAAATATTGATTTCAGTGTAGTTACTCCACATTCACACTGTGTGTTTTGAGTGAAAATTCTGGCCATTTCAAAGGGCATTTGGTCACATTACTGAACACCACGTAGCTTGATATGCTTTTCAGCTTCTGACCATGAGATTCTTAGAATTGGAATATTATCGTCCAAGTACCAGGATTAAGGCACATCGGCAGAGCTGTGCGAGATGCATATCACCAGCTCATATTAGGTCTAGCTCTTGCCATTACCACTAATCTATCACTCTGGTGAGCAAGAATTTGGAATAGTTAGGGTGATCATATTTCCCAAAAGGAAAATGCGACACTGTGCAGAGCTCGACCCAACAGTTTTCCCAAGCCACTCCCCTCCCATCACCAGTCGCTCATATCCTGCTCCTCCCCTCCCCATCATTCAAACCATGTCTGTCCAACACAGACTGAAACCTTTCCTCACCTCGCCTCCAGCCCATCACCCCCTGCAACAGGCTGGCATTTCTGCTCAGCCTCCTATGCCGCACACACACACACATTCTTTGACACTATACCACATCACTTTTTTTTTTTTTTTTTTTTTTACAAGAGTTGGCATTTGTCCCATTTGCACTTGTCTTTTTGATCAGCTGGTAAAAGCAAATGGGAGAATGCCCTCTTTTGCCCCCCAAAAAGTCAGGATGGCTGGCACAGGGCTTGAAAAAAATACTGTCCTGGCCAAAATGTGACGTATGGTTACTTTAGGATAGGCTCCAAAGGTGTTGTCAAATATATTAGAAAGTTAACATTTGAACCTCTGATCCTCATTCCCACATAGGCCCTGTCAAGCTTAGGGGAGTTTTTCAAATATTTTTTTATTATTGCTAACAACAGTTCACTTCCGCTGGTGCGGACAGAGACTCTGTCGAGTGGAGACAGACCATTGCCTTCGGTTAGTCCTCTGAGCAAGGCTAATTATCATGGTGACTATCACTGTTTGCTGGATCACCTGCTGCTGGTGGAGAAGAAATATTAGCAGTGATGGAAATATTTCCTTAGTGTAGACAGGACCAAAGAGCTCAGAATTCTAAGTGACATAAACAAATGCATTTTTTATATGGATGCAGGAAGACAAGAAGAGAAAGTGAAGTTAGTTACAAAGGGAGTTCTACCAAAGTAAGGATTTAGCTAGGCACAAATACAGTCCACATAAATGATGCAGTATCCTTGGACCAACTAATCAATGTCACCCCTTTTGGGACTCCAATAACCCTAACAGTCTCCAACATACAAGCAAATTTGCAACTGCTTCTCACAACCATAACCTAATCCCGTGACAGATTCTCCCCACCTCAGACCTCCATCCAGGGGTGGATATAGAGCAGGGCGAATGGGGCGGCCGCCCTGGGCCCTGCGCTTAAAAAAGCCCCGCGCATGCGCCGTGGCGCCACCGCACATGCGCATGGCGTCACGGCGCATGCGCCGTGGCAAAGGGGAGCCCCGCGGAGTTATGCTGCCCGGAGCCCCGCAAAACGGTCATCTGCCCCTGCCTCCATCAATATTAACACCAGCATAATATGGTATACTATAGGCAAATCTGAGCTAGTACAGTGATCACTGTATGTAGTAAGAATAAATAAAGAAATAGAAGGGACAATGCAGTTTCCAAACATCGACAATTGGAAAACATCCTAGGATTAAAAGGTTTCAGCAAAGGAAGAAAGAGACAAGCTAGCATATTTAACACTTTCTCATTGTTGCTAACAGAATTAACGTTCATAATTAATTAATTTATGGACACCTGCTTGATATCAACAGAACAGACACACCCCTGCAATTACTTTCCCTTACAAAGGCACATTTATTTCATTCTGATGACACATGGCTTTTCTAATTTCCTGTGTAACCACCTCCAGCTCTCTGTATATCTTCCCATTTCAAATTGCCAACAGGCTTCATGCATATCTGTAGATGTTTGAAAACAGCAGGAAGAGCTTTTTGATGTTTCTAAAAATGTTCAACCAAAGTTTTTTCTGGGTAAGCACAACAGCGCAATAGCCTCTGTTTACAGAATCTCTCCTTTAGCTCATGTCATTCATATGAAAGGACTTCAGTCTTCTGAGAAAGAGTGATTTGCCATATCGTTAACATCTGTCCAAACTGCTGTAGTCAGAAGTCTTTCTTATTAATGACATTTCCACTGTGATATTTGTACATTTTCAGTAGTCAGCAGAAGACCTTATTTTCTATGATTAGCTCTTAACAATGTCAAGTGAGAAATTTAAATTAACGAGCACTTCACTTATTGAAATTTCAGCACTTTTGCTATTTTCATTGATTTCTATTTACTTTGGCAAACTCAGACACAAAGGACATATTTCTAGATGTGACTAAGCAGACTAGTAATATACTAGCAAAGATGGATAAAGTGATTAAACATTACACTTAACTCTGAGACTACTCTGAAAAATTAACATAATAGAAGAAATAGGTTATTTATGAAGCACTCTTATGGTTTCTGTGTTCCAGTCAGTGTCACCTTAAAGTTATTTTCTTCTTGATCTTTCCATGCTAATGACTGGCCTATAGTACTTTCACTGGATGGTAAATATGGTGTCAACATTTTAATATAATCCATTTAAGTTTGCACTATTTTATTCATTGTTTAATACATACCAGAAAAACAGCAATGTGTCATAGCTACATTCTAGCCTCCTGGCAGAGACCAACATAAAGGACTCAACAATACTTAGCCCTTGTAAAAGTGAAAAAGGTTGAGAAGCACGCAAGGAACTTTTCCTCCCACACCCTTTACATTCCCTGCACGGGGTCCAGCTGCATTTCCTGTTAGCACCACCTACAGTGCTAACCAACTCAAAAGGTACAGAGAGGGTGAATGAAAAGACAAGGCCATGGCCCCACTCCCAATGGCTTGTCGAAAGAAATGGTCAAATGGAAAAACAGAGCATGAAATAGACAGGTGAAGCTGTAGGATGGCCCACCCTCCAGGAATGTCGAGGAGTCTCCAGGAATTAAAGATTAATCTTCCAGATGCTGCAGCAAACAGATCACTGAGAACTCTCAGAAGGAATATCCCAGTGGGGGGCAGCACTACCTTGGCACCAGGAACTTCTACAAGATTCAACAATCCATTTTGGGATCCTCTTGGGTATAGGGAGGGCAGGACTGACTTCAGCTCTGCCGGAGGCTCAGTCAGTAGGATAGCCATTTATTTTTCTTCTGGGTGGGTGTATGAGCCAGAGTCTTCAGGAGAAGCTCCCATAGTAAGTCCTAGAAAATCTGACAGCCCTACGCAGTAGACTGTCTCAAGTCTGAGAGCATATGACAGCAACTGTTCTTGGAAAGTTCTTAGGCCTGTATTGTCCAGGTAGTTAGATTAGATTATCACAATGCTCTCTTCAGGCCTAGGAATGTAATCTATGAATCTATAACAGTGCATTACAGTGCACCTGGAGTTTGCTGCCAATCACATCCCAACACCAGTTTGGTTCTGTCCTGACCTTCAAACAGGCTTGTGACCCAGAACTATATGCTGAAGTCAATAGGAGTTGCCATTATAGCCATATGGATGTAACCAGTAGTGAAATTTTACCCTACAGCAGCAGAATATTCCTATCTTCAAAACAGAAGCATGTTTACAGGCAAATTCTGCAAGGTGATAAGATGTCATGCATGCTCAGGGTCTTGTATTTAATCACCCAAAAGATGCATCTACTAAAGCTTGGTAATTAACATGAACAGTGGCCCTGTGTCCATAAAATCTTAGAACCATATGCTGTTCTGGATTTGCATGTGCAAAACCTTCTGACATTACCGAAAGAAACGTGCATGCATCAAGAATTGTATTTGATCCTTAAAGAAGAATCTGTTACAAAATTGACAGATGTGGAAAAAGAACTTCACTTATTTTGACCTCTTTTATGCCACATAGACCACATACATTTAAGTCCATGGGAATTTTTCCACTGATTTCATTAGAAGGATCAGGTCTGTAGGGATTTGCCTAATTGTATTTGTAAGTAAAGTATGAAGCCTATATTGCTTGAAGATTTTGACACCAATACTTTCCCTCCTAATGGCGCACATCCTAGAAAAATAATTCAGGACTGCTAGGCCCAGGGCTTTCTTCTTGAACTACAGGAGCTTGGCCACAGCAAAACACCCTAATATTTACAGAAGGCCAAACCTGCCATCCTTACTAATGATGTGGCGAAGATGACTCACAGAAGCCTCTTGTTAAAATTCTACCACCAAAGTAAAGGGAGGGTTGATTTTGGATGGAGTTCACCCCTTTCTCCAGTCAGCTAAGTCATCTTTAGGGCTCAGACACTTCTGAAGAGCAAATAGTTTGGTTTGGGGAAAGGATCAGATTTCAATCATTTAGTATTAAAAACAGAAAGGTCCTTGATGAGCATGCCTTAACCCACACAACGTCTGAACCAGCAATCCTTCATTCGAGATCACTATACTCAGCGATTATACACTGCATACTGATATTAGTTTGGAAGCAAGATAAATTAAACTAAAAAAAACTTTATTGCAGAATAATAGTGTTCACATGGAAAATTATACTAGTGTAACTATAGTGCTATAGTTATACTGGTATAGGTTGAACCACTCCAATCCAGAACTCTCTGGTCTGGAAACATCCGTTGCTTGGAATGATTTTAATTAGCTTGATGTCTACTTTTCATGGATGTGACCAACTTTCCTGTCATACAGTTTGTTTACAGCCACCAGTCCTAGGTCTCAGTGTTCCGTATTATTTAGCTCCAATTTACCCCTAAATCCTTAAATGTAGGTAATGCTGCTAGACAATACTGACCTCCCATGGTCTGGAAAATTCTCTGGTTCAGGACTGGTCAGGTCCCAAGGGTGCTAGACTAGAGAGGTTCAAACTGTATAATTATGTCAGTAATTTCCACATGTGGACAAAACAAAAATGTGAACATTTCCCTCAAGTGCCCTTATCCTGTATGTTTGCGAAGTCATCTCGCACTCTTTCTTGGTTACAGCTACAGTATATGAAGGTTTCCGCTTAACTGGGAAATTAAGAGAAAACATTTCCCAATTCCTTATTTTTGTTGTCAGGAACATGGGTGCCTGTGGACAAGTAAATTTTAGCCTGAGCTGAAGGGAAAAATATTTCGTTTCATCTCCTTGTTTACTCATTCAAAACTAAAACAGTTGTAGTTGTACCCGAGTAAAGATTACAGGAGGTCCAGAAAGCCTTTTATTTAGATCACCAAGCCCTCAAGCTACACCTTTAAAACTTTTGGGAAAGTTTGGATTCAATCAAAAGAAATTGTACTGTAGCTTGAATTTCTCTGTCAGTAAGCTACACAATAAGAGACAGAAATTCTGTACTGTATTAGAAGCACTCCATGATTTTTAGAAGAAGAAAGTGAAAAGTCACTTGTCAGAAACTACATTGGGATACTTGGTAGGCAGCATGTAATTATTTGAGCTGGATTTTGGCAAGAGTTTGAGGATTAACCTTGTTTGTAAAAAACATGGGCTTTTTAATTAAAAAGTCAAGATATGATTTTGCATCTCATTGTTGGAAACATCTTAGAAAGGCTGTTGAGCTACTATGCCATGTGATCAGCACTACTCCAAGTTTTCTAAAGCACCAGTTCAATTTTAAAATTATAGCTGATACTTTTTCCTATGGTGCTTCTGTAGCAATGCTAAAAAAAAAAAGCTACAATGTGCACTCACTAAAACAAACACATTTTAATTAATAACCCTCTTCCCTGCATCCTTAAACTGTGTGTATTTATTACAACCAATGCATTACAATTAACTGAAGCAATGCATACAGAAACATTCAATATGGCAAGATAAGAGTATACTTACCCAGGTAACAAGCGATATAGCTGTGTACACAGCTACCAGCAAGCTCTCTATAGTTTGTAGACAGGTATTTGGTACAGTTGTGCAGGAAAGGAACTACCTTCCCCACAAAAATTTTCAAGATCTTGAAAGAATTTTATGTCTGGAATTAGAATTAAAAGTCAAAATTTCATATTTTAT